CAGAACATCCCCTCGGCTGGTCCGTCCATGCGTTTGCAGACAAGAATGGTGTGTGACCACCCCGTCGCTCCCAATGGTGCACCCTTTTCAAGAGGTGGTTGTCTCAAATGGGGCGCCGGGGCTTGGCGTAGGTGAGGGATTGCCGCGGTGGCATCAATTCGACTACTCCAGATAACATCGCCTACTTGGGCCATATATACCATGTATTTTTTGTCTTCACTTAACTCAGCGCTCACAGCACTAGTGCCGTTTGCTCCAACCCGTGGTCACACAGAAGAGCCCCTCTCCACCCTCCGCTCTTGCGGTACATTGCCTTCGATTTTGAATGCGAGAAGAATTCAGCGCCCTCTTCCCTCTGTGTACACAAGAACTAGCGCTTTCCACTAGGCCAGGAACGGAAGCGAGAGAAAAACTCGCTTTGGAAGAAGAGCTCGCTTACGCCGGGATTCGAACCCCCTGATCTGACCTCTAGAGGGTTTCGAGGATACCAGCTAGATTACCGGGGCGACCGGCTAAGATACCATATGCACGTGTATATTCGCTACTACTGTCATCGGCCGTTTCAGCTTATTTTCCAGCTCGCGGAAACAACAAATGCCGACTCCAAAAACAGCGGAAGGGGGCACTCGCCGTCTTGATCCTCTTATCCATCTTGTACACGGTCCAATCCCGCCCCCCAGGTTTCTAATTGTAATCGAGCGTTGTCCTCCGTAGAGGAGACGCTCGTTCCTCCCTGGCTGGGTGTCCAACTGTAATCAGGCATCGTCCTCCGTAGCGGGGACGCACGACGTCGTCCCCGGCGTTAGCGACTCGGGGGAAGGCATAGACCGTTTGTGTCGTATGTAAGGAAGTACGACACCGGTGTCGTATATAACACTACCGCTTCAGCATCACCTGCCGGGGAAACAAAGTTTCGCGTGAAGAAACTAGACAACTTCGACCATATATTGTGCACAGACGACTTGAATGAGTCGACCACACATTAGCAATGACATTTTTTGTGTTGTAGAGACAAGGCGGTGAGCAAAGTCGCCGAGGTAGGAAAGGGTCCACCGATTTACGTCGTTCTACATGATTGCAGTCCCCCCCCACGTTATCTTGTCCCTCTCTCGCTCCACCGTTCGCTTTCAGATTCGCTCCAGAAAAAGGCAACATAAACAGGACAACATGATTGTGACTTGGGGAACAGTAACAACAGCATCATCAACAACAACAGCATCATCATCATCAACAACAACAACAACAACAACAACAACAACAACACAGCTACTCACCCTAGGCCCCGAATAACCCGCGCAGGTGAACTCGTCCACAAGCTGGCCCGAACAGTAGAGGAGCACCGTCGGCGTTGCATGGACGTTCAGCATCTTGTGAATCTTTCAAGACACAAGACCGAGGCATTTTGCTGCTGAAGCTTTCCTCCAAGCGTGAAGAGACTTTGAGAGGACGCGGAAGACAAGCGTTTTCCACACCTTTCAAGGCGCGACCGAGTCGTGCTGTTGTCGAACCTTTTGTTACAAGTTGAGACTCTTCGGGATGACGCGAATGACGAACGGCGGTTTATCGGGGCACCCACGCCAAGTAATGTCTTCCCCAGGTTTTTTTGTTTTGTTTGTTTTTCTCCCATCATTGGACTCTGTCGTCTGCCCCTCTGGCCCCTATCCTCCACTTCTACTAGCTAGACGACCCAACCGGGGTCACATAGGAGGGGGGGGTTGGACCCCCTCCTGCGGTTCATGCCTGAGGTATTTTTATCGCGAGAAGGGTACAGCAATCCCTTCCCTCAGGTGCCGTATTGGTCGTTCAAACGTGTACCGAGAAGCCGATTACAGAGCGGAGCCCAGAATTGATGGGGTAACACAAACAAAAATGTCGAGCACGAAGGACGTTGGGTCTCGGGTTGAATAAACATTCGGAAGGTTCATATTCTCGGGAGGGCGTGAAGGTAGGAGCCCCCCCCGCTCGATCGGTTGCTCTTGGCAGACTTCGACGACGGAACACCTCCGGAAATGTTTTCAGACATGAATCTACTCCGGGGGTTTCCTCACATCAAGGTCCGACAGGGATATGCGTAGAAAATAACCGTCGCTGCATGCATCATGCTGTTCAACTTGTTCTTTGCCGCGATGCTCATGGTCGCCGTGGCCGAGTTCGACAAGGACCCCAAGGTGACGGCGGACATGGTCAAGATCGGGACACAAGTGGAGTACACGGGCAAGAAGGGCAGGTCGGCGGAGAGGAAGACGACGGTGGTGACGGACGCGGAGGCCTTGTGGGCCATGCTCTACGCTGACGACGCGGCCATCGTCTCGCGCTCGCCGGAGAGTCTCGAGAAGATGATGTCGGTCATCGTGCGCGTGGCCGGCCTGTTCGGACTGATGGTATCGGAGCCAAAGACGGAGATCATATGTATGCTGCCGAAAGGGATCGAGGAACGCCCGTTCACGGTCAGCGCCGCCGGCCAGACGTACAAGCAGACAGATCGGTTTGTGTACCTCGGACGTACCATCTCCGCGGACGGGAAGGCCGACCGGGAGATCACGAGCCGCAGCTGCCGAGCGTGGAAGTGCTACCGCCGGAACAGTGCTTCGATGTACGACAGGCGACGGGCCAACCGCCAGCTCAAGATCCGGCTACTCCAGGCTGAAGTGGTGGAGACTCTCCTGTATAGGTGCGCCTCTTGGAGCCTGGCAGCGGAGTACTACACGTAGCTCAATGGGACCCACCGCCAGTTCCTTACACGGTACATTGGCTGGAGCAAGCGGAAACGCTCAGACCGCCCCCTGTCCTATGCCAAGTTCCATATCCAGGCCGGCTGCGAGGAACCATCGAGGCCACCGTGCGCAAACGGAGACTGTGTTTCGCGGGCTTTGATATGCGCATGGAGGACAGCCGCCTCCCCGAGCGCATGCTGTTAGGAGCGATGGCGGGGGGCGTGGGATACCGGGCGGGCAGGAGATCGACTGGGTGTCTCGTCTAGGAGAGGCCCTCGTGGCCTTCAACATGGGAGACGAAAAGGAAGGGGGGTAAATGGAAAGAGAGCGCCAAGGACCCGGAGGTGTGGTACAACACGGTCGAGGACGGGACGGCATGGTTCATGATGAAATGGCACAGGCAGGAGGCGGAGGCGTCCGCGAAGCGCCAGTGCACGAGGGAAGCAGAAGCAGAGGGCGGCGATCTCAGTCCTGAAGAGAAAGAGAGCCGGGGAAGCGGCGGTGGGGGGGAAGAAACGGCGACCGAGCACTGCTGTAGAAGCGAGTAGGGCGGCCGAGGCAGCACCTGTGGCGAAATATGTACCCGGCTGATGTTGTTGCGCCCTGTTTCCCTCTCTGCTGTATGCTATGCTCCGTTATGTATGTCCTTTGTATTGCCTTCGGCCTCTGTGCTGTGTTTCACCGGTCGCAAGGTGGTCTAGTGGTATCCTCGTAACCCGCTAGTCGCAACGGTCGTGAGTTCGGATCCCCATGGATGAAAAATTTACGAATATTTTGCGGGTGAAAGCGAAATATAGCTAAAAGGCTCTCGTGAGTACCAAACTTCGACGTTAGCACCGTTGACGAGGGAAAGGGACGGCTGGACCCTTCTGGCGATAAAAATATAATTCAGCACGCACCGCAGGAGGAAGGTGCGGCGTGAAAAGAAATAAAAAGAAGAAAAAAGCCCTGCTGGTGTTTACCCCCCCCTGTGTGACCCTGGATGGTTGTAGTTGTACGACAAAATACACTGACAAGTGTAGACGATTGGCACCATGTTTTACACCGATGAGGGGGGTCAGTTGCCTACCGATGTCGGTCGTGTGTGGACGTACGTGGCTGCGGTGTGTATGGCGGGGAAGTTGTGTTTGGGCTACCTGATCGTCAGGTCGTTCAAGAGAGTCGTTCGCTTCGGCACTGAGCAGGAGGAGCAGACCTCAGGTAGACAGCACGGTGGCGGTGATGTTGGCGGCAACGGAGATGTTCACCCTGGTGGGAGATCTCGTGCTGATGACGGAGGAATGCTCGGGGACACGAGAGAGAGGACAGGTGACGGTGACGAGGGCAGTAGAGGTGTAGTCGCCCTTGCCAGACGAGGCGCACGCGTACACGGAGTCATGTCGCTTTCCAGGACGGTGAATCGGCGAACACTGTCGTCGTGGACTGCTCGCGAGGGGGCGTCACGTGTTGGTGGTGGACTAGATAGACAGGGTGAGCCGGGTAGCGCAGGCTCCTCAGCAGGGCTGGAGATGATTGACAACAGAATTGTAGTTGCTGTTTGTTGTGTAGTTGGCAGTGGTGGCGCAGTTTGGGTAGATACAACACAGAGTGATCATTAGATCCAAAACACAGGCGCCCAAGCTGTCTTCACCTGACGGTTACAGACTTGGAGACACGCCTTCACAATACTGCACAAAACCCATGCAGTAGAATAGAGTCAGTTCTTGCATACAAATCCCAACATGTCCTCTCAAGAACTACGTCATGACTAGCTCTGATACATAAGACACAAAATTCTTTCTCTCAGTGTCCTCTCGAAACAAATACCAGTGTCCTCTCGACAAATGCTATCAACATGAATGCATGCTCTCGAACAATTCAAATTGAATACTCATCACTAACTGCCAGAGTTTTCTGGGCAGCGAATTCCATGTACCGTCCAACCCTTTTAAGACATATGGTCTGATTTCGGTAAGGGGAGGTACTCACACTCCAAGCAAAATAAGGCGGTTCTGCAGGAACTTCACAGCTCCCGAACTTTTGGTCAATATGTCTGCCCTCTGCCTGTTGGTGTCGATGTAAGTTACATCTACCACGTTTTGGTCCTCTAGGTGCCGGACGTGGTGGAACTTCACGTCGATGTGCTTCGTGCGGGGCGTGATTTTGCTACCCTTTGCGAACGCTACGGCACCCGCGTTGTCCTCGTACAATACTGTTGCTTGCTTCTGCTTCATCTTCAACGACTCTAGCAAATTTCGAAAATGTATAACCATGAGGCACGCCTTGGACAGCGCGACGACTTCTGCCTCGAACGTGGAGATGGCCAGCACCGTTTGATTCTTGGCTATCCAGATCACTGGGCCACCTGCGAGATAGAGAACGACACCGGTTGTGGAGTAGCCCTTGTCTTGGTCACCGGCAAAGTCAGAATCCGCGTACGCCGTTAGCTTGTCTCCGCCGTCGGCGTCTTCGGTGTATGTGATCCCGATAGTGGTTGTCCCTTTTAGATACCTGAGAACCCGCTTCAGCTTTGCCATCGCCTTGGGACCCGGTTTCGCCATGCTCTTCGTAAGCACCATCACCGAGTGGGTAATATCCGGCCTCGAACCCCTGCTGAGATACAGGAGACTGCCCGTGGCGGACCGGAAGTACACCGTGTCCTCTGGAGACAAAACCTTCTCCTCCACGGTGCTGATAGGCCCAGCCTCCGCAGGCGTCTTCGTAGAGTGCGCGTCGGCCATTCCGAACTTGTCAAGTACGGCCTTCGCGTACATCTCCTGCGACAGGAAGATCGTTCCGGCGTCGACGTTCCTCTCAAGTGCCATACCGAGCAGGAACTGTGCATCTCCCAGGAACACTGTGTCGAACCGCTCCTTCAGCTGCTCGACGACCCGCATCACCTGCGCTTCGTCGCTTCCCGACAAAAGAATGTCGTCGACGTACACGAGAAGGAGGACCCCTCCCGCGTTAAGGATGTAGAGACAGGGGTCCGCCGTACTCTGAACGAACCCGATCTCCAGCAGGAAGTCGTGGAAGGTGCCGTTCCAGCCCTTCGGAGAGAGGCGCAGCCCGTAGAGCCACGCCTTGAGTCGCCACACTTTTCCCTGTTGTTCCGGAGAGCACTCGAACCCTTTCGGAGGGATGACGTAGATCGGTTTCGCATTTGCAGGAACCCGCGCGTGGAGGAATGCCGTCTTGATATCGGCTTGCTTCAGGCCAAAACCATTCTTGGCTGCGATAGCAATCAGCAGGTGGACGGATTCCATGGACGCCACAGGCGCCGCTTTATCCTCGCCCGTGTCTGCTTGGTGAAAGCCTTGGACCACAACGCGGCTCTTCAGTCGAGCAAGCTCGCCATTCTTGTACTTCCGCTTATAAAGGTACCTTGACGGGATCGGCTGGTCCTGGGCACTCGTCGGCGGCTCGACCCAGTCGTACACATCAAGGTCGACAAGCGACTGGTTTTCGTTCCGCATGGACTCTTGCCAGTCTAGAGCATCCTGCCCACGGATCGCTTCGTCGTAGCTCGAAGGGTCGGGAGCCCTGTAGCCCACTTCGCCAGGGTTGCCAGTCCCGTTGTTGCCAAGCGAGCTTCCGGTGAGCAGGGAGCGTTCCACTTGCTCGAAGGCCTCCTCCTCCGTGGCAAAGGTAAACAGGTTCAGACGTTCAGTCGGCTTGGGGTTCCTGGTGCTGCGACGGGGGCCCGGCTCTTGCGCCTGAGGCGTGGGCTCCGGCTCGTTATCCTTCTGCTCGTCTTGTGGCTCCACCACACTGTCGACGTCGTCATCAGACTCTTCCGGACCGGGATGGTAAATCATTGGAGTCTCTGGCAGCGGATCATGCCCTGCCTTGGGGGGAACCACGTCGCGCGGGGCTTTCTCGCGAATAGAAACTTCGGCGGAGTTGGTGATCTTAAACTTGTCACGAGGGGACCATAGCCTCCACGACCGGCTTTTAGGGTTGACACCGACCAGAAACATCTTCTCAGCCCTGGCAGCCAGTTTGTTGGGCCTGTCCCCCGCTTCCACGTGCTTAAAGCATACCGAACCGAATTCGCGGATGTGGTGCAAGCTGCCAAGCGGTTTGTTCTCCCATACCTCAAGTGGTGCCTTGCCGCCCAAGACGTCCGTAGGCGTGCGATTCAGTATATAGATCGCGTATTGGAACGCTTCGGCCCACAGACTCTCCGGTAGATGAGGTGCCCCAAGAAGAAGGCGCCGCGTTATGGCTGCGACCGTGCCAAAGCCACGCTCGGCGACGGCGTTGCCTTGAGGCATGTACGGGGCGTTGGTCTCGATTTTGATTCCAAGTGATGCTGCCAGCGCCGCGAACCTTCCCTTGAACTCGCCCCCTCCGTCGCAGTGTAGCGTGGTGATACACAGTCCTTCCGGGTCGGCTTCCTCCTTGACAACAGTTTCCAGCGCCTCAGCAGCTGCATCTTTGCTCTTGATGGGAAAACCAAACCTCATGCGGGTATTGTCACACGTGAACATCACCGCACCCTTGTGTCCACCGAGAGATTTTACGGAGTGCGACCAGGTGTCTACGTGCAAGAGCGCAAGACGAGTGCCGGCGCGAGGTCGGTTAGCCGGTGGGTGACTAGACTTCTTGCTGTTGCCGACAGCACATACCTCGCAGTCGCCAGACTCGATGTTTTGGTCAAATTTAACCCCAGAATGCTCCTTCCTCGCCAGCTGCTGGAGGGCGCGCGGATTACAGTGGCCCATCCTCCGGTGCCACATGTGTGCATTCACCTTCGTCTTGAGCAGCATCGCGGTCCCGTCCATCCTCATGTCGTCGAGGACAATGTTCACGCTGTACATCCGCGAAATCTCCGTGGAGATGGGGAAGGCCTGATCGCTGCTACGGAGTGCTGGAGGAGTAGACAGAAGATCGCACATCACCCCCCTTTCCTTCAGGGCTCCGACCGAGAGGATGTTCGCTCCTAGGTTGTCAACCAGTAGTACTTGTAGCTCCACCGGGACGAGTTGGTTCCGGTCGTTTGAGATGCCGAAACGCAGGATACCTTTCTGAGCCGCGCTCGACGTTCCACACGAACCTTTGATCCTCACGTTGCAGTCCGACTTCTCGGTCACGTGGCGAGATGCGTAGGAATCCGCGCTAACCATGTGGCTAGACGCTGCTGTGTCTACGAACATAATGGTGCTCCTGGCGGACTCGTCCTTAACCTGGTACACACTGGTGTAGGCAACTATATCTGTTGCATCAGCAAGCGGGTTCTGCACCTGAACGTCACTAGCAGCATCAGCAGCACGCTCCTCGGGCAGCGGCACAGCAGGGGTATCCAGCACTTGCTCATCGTCGGCAGCGCGCTCCTCTGGCAGCGCCGCGGCAGGCGCCTCCGCCACCTGCTTCTCAGCAGCAGCGCGCTCATCGGGCAGCGCCACAGCAGGCGCATCCAGCA